ATTTGTTTGTATAAACATGTACTCTGTGATCCAGTGACACTGTCCTCCTTTCTGTTCTGCGTACAAGACACTCTATCTCTTGGTTGAACATTTTCACTGGCTGCCCCTTTGCCTGGAACTCTTTCCCTTCTCATCACCACTCTTGGCTTCCCCTGGTTTCCCTAAAGAGTTGCCTTGAGCCCTGAGGGCTTAAGTGACTTTCAAAGAGGCATACACTCGTATGTCAGAGGTGGATCCTGAACCCAGGTCTTCTTGGCTCTAAGTTGTCATACTGCTAATAATAGTAACTACTGACATTTATATGGTGCAATAGAATTTGCAAAGGCCTTAACATACATTATCTCATATGATCCTCACAATAACCCTGAGGTGGTAAGTGCTACTTATTATCATCCCAGTTCTACTGATGAGGAACCTGAGGTTTACAGAAACAAGTTCCCCATCTCGGTAGGAGTCATGGGATTGGTGCAAAAAGGACTGGATTTGGAGTCAGGGAACCTTGGTTCTGATCCTCACCTTCATTTCGTTTCTTTACTGGTAAAATGAGGTGGTTGTACTAGATGACTTCTAAACTCTCTTTCAACTTGAATTCTTCGATCATCAGTTAATTAAGGAGAAGATTTGTGATCACTGGTTGAGGATGATGTCCAGGAGATTCCTTCTTAGGTAAAGACTGGACTAGGTGACCTCTCAGGACCCTGGCAAATCTGACCCTCTTTGATTTGTTATATAATGGTTATAAAACTGGCAATACCTACCTCCCAGGGTTGTCCTGAGGAAAACATTTTGTAAACTTTAAAATTCAAGTGAGTTTTGATTGTTTTTAATTATGTTTAGGTACAACTTCCCTGGCTCACCCAGAGTAATAATTAGACTGAAGATGCCCTTTGGTCTTTGGTCTGCATTCAATAAGGCTATACCATATTACCTCTGAGTTTGTTCTTATCAGTGGGCTGTTCGTAACATTGGTGCTTTATATTGTTGATGTTTATAATCGATTTTTATGCTGATGTGAATAAATATTTTATCAAAGAGCATGGAAAAACAGACATAAATTCATTGACTTTTTTCATCAAATCCTTTGAGGGTTTCTTGGGATAGGAGAGGGTCAAACAGGAGAGGATGTACTAGGTAGCAATTTTTTTCCTGCTGAAATAATTCAGAAAATATTGAGTATTATTGGCTGTTACTATGTCTACTAAAAGGGATAGGAGACGAGGTGAAAATGGGACAGTGTGGAACCATCTCCATGTATAAGCAAATAATAATCCTTCATCTTTCATCTAAAGTTCTCAATGTGTCTTTGGTACATTAACTCACCCCCTGGGTGAATAGCAATTCTGTTTTACAGGTGAAGAAATAAAGAAATCCTGAGGCCAAATGGCCTGTCTGAAGGCAAGATAGAGAAATGAATTCCTCTGGTTTCTTTCTTATTGCTTTTCAGCTGTGTTAAGAGTAAAAACGACTCTTGTTACTTGGAAGCTTATCACTCTATTATCTAGCAGTAGTTTTCATTATGGATATGGCTGTGGGGACAGAGCGACCCATTAATGCCCTCCTGTGAAAACCACTTGAAGTTTCACTTCCATATGGTAACTTCCATTTATTGTCCTTTATGCAGCTTCTAAGCTAAGCAAAGGAATACAGCTGGATGAGAACAAGTTACCTTTAAAGATCTACTGACTTTACTAGTTAAGAGGCCTTCATAATTGATACTCTGTGAAACTGTGGTTCAATAAAACTTGGAGAGAAGACAGGAATATTGCATTCCTGGAGAAATAGATATTCCTATCAACAATAACAAAAAATATTTCTGAACAATCCACTTGGAATTTTCATGCATTATTCTTAGGCATACACATTACATTATTATGAAGATAGTTTGATAGAGACAACTCTTAATTTCCCAAGAAAAGTATTAGTTAGCTTTTGGCTTATATAACCCTTTTTATTTCATGTTTTTCCATGAAACAAGAGGGCCTAAATAAAACAAAAATCCAAAAGATCTAAAGCAGAGGTTCTTAACCTTGGGTCCGCAAAAAGGGCTATGGATATATTTGGGGGAGATGTTAGCTTGGATGGGCAAAAATTACCTGTTTAATTTCACTAACCTCAACTGAAATATAGCATTTCCTTCAATTATTAATATGTATGTGTGAAAACACACACACACACATATATACATATATATACACACACACACACACACATATATATATACATATATTTTATACACACATACATATACACACACATACAGAAAGAGAGACAAAGACAGAAACAGAGTCAGAGTCATAAGCTTCACCAAAAAGCCAAAAGGGCTCATGACACAAAAAAATGATTAAGAACTCCTGATCTAAAGGAAACCTTCCAATGTCTAGAGATGTATAAGAAGACCCACAGCACATGAAGTGGACCTTCTGTGCTAGATTAATGGGGACACCTGAACGAGAGCCACATAGGATAGACAGGAATGGATAGGTTGGGATCCACATCATAGAAAGGAATACACACTGGTGAGATCACAGATCCAATAAATTATCTTAGCCCCCTACTTCTCTTCTCTTAGCTTGGTCATTTCAGCACCTTGACAAGAAAAGAAGTAAACATAGCAATCTGTCTTTCTACTTGCTAAACACTCTCTCTCTCTCTCTCTCTCTCTCTCTCTCTCTCTCTCTCTCTCTCTCTCTCTCTCTCTCTCTCTCTCTCTCTCTTTCTCTCTCTCTCTCTCTCTCTCTCTCTCTCTCTCTCTCTCTCTCTCTCTCTCTCTCTCTCTCTCTCTCTCTCATTTAACAAATAAACTAAATGTCATTTAAGAAGCACCACAGTTTAGTAAACAAAGCTTGAGTTGTAGTCAGGCAAAACAGCATTTAAAATCCCTCCTATGATGCCTACTAATTGTGTAAACTTGGGCAAATAACTTCACCTGTCTTATCCCTAGTTCCTCAGTGGTATAATGGGGGGAAAATAATATCTATCTCAGTATAGCTGTATATGTATTGTGGAAAGTAGTTTGCCAGTCATTAAAAAAAAAAACCTAGAGAAAGAAGAGTTATCATTGTGAATTAAATAAATAGAATGTAAGTGCCTCAAGGACAGGGACCATTTTGTTATTGGCTTTGTATCCACAGGGCCTAGTATAGTGCCTTATACATAAGGATGTATAATAAATACTTGTTGAATGAATGATTGCTTTGTAAAAGAAAGGTGGTCGAAATTTAAAGGTAGAAATAAATAGTGGATTGTTTGTGGGTAATTTTTTACCTGGACCATTCCCCTCAAGCATGGAAAATTGATGCTTGCCTTCAGTTAGGTTTAAAATGTTTCACATCTAACTATTAAGCTAATTGGAATATTGCTTGTCATACTTATTCGATGATTTTATTAGCATTGACATCAAAGAAGTCATTATATACTTGTCTCATCCTCAGACATTCAATAGGACCTTCTCAAGGGGGAACATTAAGTTAACTCTCTTCTTTCTACTAATTTTAGGCATCAACCTATGAGGCACGCATCTCTTGAAGAGTTAAGCACTTGTTGATAACTTACAAAGACATTATCCCCTATTCATGAAATTGACATAGGAGAATAGTACATACCTAAAGGAGATGTTCAGAACCATTTCTGTTCATGTTTTCCAGTCATGTCTGATTCTTCCTGAGCCTATTTGGGGCTTTCTTGGCAAAGATACTGGAGTGGTTTGCCATTTCCTTCTCCAGCTCATTTTTACTGACAAGGAAACTGAGGCAAACAGGATTAAGTGGCTTGCCCAGGTTTCCATAGCTGGCAAGTGTCTGAGGACAGATTTCAACTCAAGAAAATGAGTCTTCCTGACTCTAGGCCTGGCACTCTACTGGGCCATGTAGATGCCCATTCAGAACCATAGCATAGTAGAAAGAGCATTGGGATTATAATCAGAAGATGCCCCACATTAGGTCTGCGACTGAGAACAAACAATTTAACCTTGATGACACTTGATCTTCTTCTCTGTAAGTTGGGTATAAAAACCCTTACACTATCTGCCTCACAAGGTTATGGTGAAAAGTCACTTTGTAAACTCTAATTTATAAGTAAATGGGAATAATTGGTGATGTTTATTGCATGGGTAAGAGTGCTTTGGAGATTGTCATTTGACACTAAAGATTATGAGCTTTTTTCTTATGACTGATAAATACATATAGTACTGGAGGAACTGAGTCATACTAAGCTTTTATTCTCTATATGTGTAAAATCAGAAGACAAAGCAGCTAAATAGAAGGATGTCTTACAAGTTCTCCTTTGAGAAGCAAATAGAGTTGGTTCACATGATCAGTTGGGCAATGCATCAAAAGGCAACAAGAAATAGCATCGTATAGGTCATTTGGTCATTTCATATTACAATACTCATGATAAATACTTCCAAAATACTATTATAAAAATAACTTCTTATAAGTGCCTTCACTGGATAAGAGGATGACAAGCTACAGAAATGTCTGCTGATATGGAGATCATTTCTAAATTAGTTGTCTGTGTTATCAGGGAGTACACCAGTTTTCTAGAGCAAATTTCAAAGTTAATACACAGCTAGGAGGAAAAAAAAAACAAAAAGATTTATTGGAGAATTCACTCCAAGGATTTTATCTTATGATTCTTTGAAATAGGACTGCAGATTGTGGAAAACACATTAGGAATTGCTGAAACTCAGTGTATGAGCAAATAAAAAATAAAAAGTGTCTGAGGAAGATGGTATAAATTTTAGAGGAAAATATAAATTGAGAAACTATAAGCTAGACTTTTCATTATGTCAGTTAGACAACAAGCATTTATTAAATACCTTCTATGTACCAGGCACTATGCTAAGCATTGGCTATGTAAAGTCAAAAAACAGTCCCTACTCTCAAGAAGCTCAAGATCTAATGGACATCTGCACATGTATACATCTGCATGTACACATAAAGATCTGTCACTTCATATTTAATTGGTTATTAAAATGTTTTATTTTCAAAATCTTTTCTAAGAATTGCTCTGGTGGAGAACATTCCTGAAGGCCTTAATTATTCGGAAACAGCACCATTCCATTTGTCGCTTTTCCAAGGTTGGATGAATTTGCTCAACATGGCCAAAAAGTCTGTTGACATAGTGTCTTCTCATTGGGACCTCAACCACAGTCATCCATCAGCATGCCAGGTGAGCTGCAGTTGGCACCTGTGTATACCTGTTTAACTTGTGATCGTTTTGTATATTGTACTTTCCATTGTCTTTTCTGCTCAATCCTGTAGCTCTGTTTCCAGTCCGACTTTCTCCCATAGTAGACTTACATTACTATGTTAATACATGTTTGTCTTTGTATCTTATATTCCCTTTTCTTCCATTGGAATGAAAGCCCCTCAAAGCAAGGATTATTTTAATTTTTATTCTTTTACCTCCTGGCACTTGGTGTAAGTACTGTGTACCCAGTGAGAACTCCGTAAATACCTGATCATGCATTTATTCCACTTCCTCAAGGACAGGTAGGGCTTGAGTTTGGATCAAAAGCCAAAATTGTATACTAGTGATGTCTATTTTCACATCGCACCCTGCTAATGATGCCTTAATCCTTTTGTTAAAAGGCAGAATGAGAAAAGGATGGCATTAATTATGGGATAGAAGATGAATTTAATGACCTGACAGATCTCTAAATATACTGCCTAAACAAACATATGAAATAATACTAAAAAAAAAATTACAATAGAACAGGAGGTTTTTCCAATAGTGTGAAAGCTTATGCTGAGCCACCTGAATGCTTCCATTCACCCTTCTTGGGATCAGTGGTTTATCCATTTATGAGATATCTCAATTCCAAGTTAATTATTCTATTTGAAGACTGAATCAATGACCTTTGCCTTTTGGGTACTATTTGAAGATCAAAGAGATATTGGACAACAGATTAAAAAACCAAGATCAAAACCGTATTAAAAATTTTATCACTTCTCTTCACACTGACGTGATCTCATCAGTACATCAAAGGAGATCCCAAATTTGAAGCACGATACTACCTTGAACTCAGGCAAGCTACATTCTATATATAGCTCTGAAAGTTAGTCAGGGCCAAAATTTCATATGGAATTGATGAACCCTGCTGGTCTCCTTGGGCCCAGATCATTGCAGATATTAGTCTGTGATGAACATGAACATTATAATAATTTGCCAGGCATGTAACACTGTAGTTTCAGGTCATGCTAGTCACAAAGTAGGCAACCTGGCACAAATGTTCCATTCACTTAAGTTTATAGTTTCACTTAGGTTGGGTAGCTTTGTGCTGACTTTGTCAACACGTTCAGTCTGTCAACAGCATTTATCAAAAGTTCCCAAAGTGACAGGCACTGTGCTAAGCACTGAGGATAAAAAAAGGAAGGGAGGAAAAAAGGAAGGAAAGAAAGAAAAGCCCAATTCCTACCCTCAAAAGCTTTCATTCTAATGGGGGAAACAACATATATATCTATATGTATATACAAAATGAATATAAGGTGGTTTTGGGAGGAGTACACTACCAGCCAGAGAGGATCAGAACATTTTGTCTTGAAGGAAACACAATAGTAATTGTCTATTGCATCCACATAAAATATTGGATTTGATCATTGAATGACTCCATTGCATTTGAAAACAATAAGAAAAAGTTTCACACCCTAATTATTAAAGTAAGCCTAATTTAAATACCTTCAAGATATTTCAGTAGCAACTACGGTCACTCACAAATATGTGTGATAACAAAAAAAAATGACTTAATTTCACAGCCATTGCTACATGAATACGTTATCTTTTTTAAGAAATAACATTTTTGCTTTGGAGGAAAAAAAAGTCAGATATGTTATGTGCTTCTGAACCAGCAGAGCCTGAAAAATCCTAAATGGAAAAATAGGAATAGCAGACTACAACAGGAATGTAGCACATCTATTTATTATAATACAACTGCAAATAAAATACCCAGTGGGTAAAGCGCAGGCTGCTTAAGGTGGAATGGGCAATTCATACCTCATCTTGGCAGGAAACTATCAGCCTGGAAAGTATCACAATGGTCTTACATCTTCTGCACCACCTAGTGGCTATTTTTTAAAACTGAGTAATGGTTTCTATTAAAGGAACTAATAGTCCCTATTTGCAAGGCAATGAACAAAAGCTGAGGGGGGAGGGAGGAATCTTCCTGTCTATATCCCAGAGGGCTACAGATTTCATTCACAGTTTGAGAAGACCATTCTGGAGCAGTGCAGTATCCTATACATTCAGTTAATAATCAGGCACCAACATTTTCTTTTCTTCCTGTATGTCTTTGGTTAAATCATATCATGTTTCTATGTTTTTGATAGAATCCTGACTGTTAGAGATTGAAAAGCCCTTAGATAGAAAAGCCCTAGTCCCACCCCCTTAATTTACGGGATAGGAAACTGCAGCCAACAGAGATTTGCTTATGATCCTCTAACAATCAGGAGCAGACTTAGGAATTACAGAATCCCAGAATTTCAGATTTGAAAGTAGAGGTCTTCTGATTTACCCCATACCTGAATAAGAATCTCTTTTATGCATACCCACAATGCGGTACCTAGCCTTTCCATGAATACTGCCAGTATGGGTAGAACCCACAACCACCGAATGCTTCTTGTTCCTTTTTGAAAAGTTCTCAATTGTTAGAAAAGTTTTTCCTCAAACCAAGCCTAAATTTCCTTAGGTCTTAGTTATACTCTCTGGGGTTCAGAAGAACCATTCTAATCTCTCTTACAGATGAAAGGTCTTCAAATTATTGAAGAATGCTTCCATGTCTCCTCTCTGTGTCTCTTCTGCAGATGAAACATTTCTCATTCTGTCAACCCATTCTCATATATAATGATCTTGAGATTTTTCACCATACTGTTAGCTTCTCCTAGATATACTACACGTTACCGAAACCCTTTTTAAAGTGTGCCATCCAGAACTATTAGACTTGTCTGAAGAGTGAAGCAGAACTATCACTTTCCTAGCCCTGTACACCATACCTCTCTAATAAAACTGTATTAGATTTTTTGACTTTCGCTATTAACTTATGAGATTGCTGTCCACTAAGGCCCACATATCTTTTTCAAAAGAAGTGATGGCTAGCCTTGGCTTGTACTCATGAAATTGATTTTTAAACTCCAGGTGTAAGATTTTACATTTATCCTATTTTATCTCATTAGATTCAGTCAAATGTTCTAGCCCACCTTTATCATGTTTTGTTGTTGTTGTTGTTGTTGTTGTTTGTTTTATTTTTTTTTTAAATCCAGACTGTGATCTAGCAAGGAAGTATTAATTTCACTGCCTATGGACTAAAAGCCACACACAAAACAGTACTTGCAGTGATTCCTTTCTTTTGAGTTTGACGCTAGTGTGTGTGTTAGCTATTCTTTTTTTTTTTGCAATTGGGGTTAAGTGACTTGCCCAGGGTCACACAGCTAGTAAGTGTCAAGTGTCAGGTCCTCCTGACTTCAGAGATGGTGCTCTATCCACTGCACCACCTAGCTTCCCCTAGCTATTCTTTTTAGATAACAAATTGGATAAAGATATCCTGTCTGTCTTTATCCACATCACTGATAAAAGTGTAAAGTAGCTTGGGGCCAAACACAGATCCCTGGACCCTCCTAGAGAAACCAAGCTGACATGAAACTTGTGATTGAAACTCAAGTCCAAAACTCTTTACTGTACCACAACTGTTTCTTTATGGGGTTTGGTCTTTCCACATATATGTTATACAAGGAGATGGCAAGTATAGGTGAAGTGTATAATTAGTAAAGTGGTAGAAATTCTTTGGATAAAACATTTATTTCTACTCTACATTCCGTCCCGAAGAAATGTATGATATAACTGAGGGAATGCCACATCCCTCATACCAAAAAAAAAAAAAGCATTTGTGTGAAGTAAATCAGTAATTGATAGTGAAACATGATTAACAATATTGTACTTGATTGCAAACCATATCTAATTAAAACTAAGATTTTTGTTTCAATGACCAATCAATATTTGTTGGCTTCTCTGAGTGAAGCTGCATTAACAGGGAAACCATGTGATCTCAGTGATAGAGAAAGAGCATAGGTCCTGAAAAGAGCTAATGGTGGGTTAATGTACTTAGCAAGTCTCACAGGTAAAAGGCTAGCTTATTTAGTAGAACTTGCTGAAGGGAGGGGGGAAAAATGCTAATTTTCTAAGCACGCCTTACAGGAAAAGTAAGAAATACTGTGGCTCCAGCTACACCATTCACTTGCAGCTGTATTGACTACACTCTACTATCCTATATCCTTCATTATTAGGAAGATGCCTGGTGGTAAAGAAAAGGAAATCAGAGTCTTAGGAATTGAAAGCAACCTTAGGGGCTATCTATCCCAACCGATATATAAGTCCTCTCTAAATATACTCCATAAGTGGCAAAGCAATCTGAATTATTAACAACTGACAAGCTCTCAGGCATTGACTTTTTATCTCTTACAATATTTTTATTGTTATCTCTGTAGTATATGTTCTGGATGTGTTCCTCAAACCCCCACACTCCAAGGCAGATTGGGTCCCCAGAAGCTACTGCTACATCCCTCTTGGGATTTTAAGGGTAGCCTAAGTAGTTGGGGATAGCTTTTGTCATGTAGCTCTCATGAGCTCCTACTAGAATGATTCCTTGTTGATTGTTAATAGATATAAATTTGTCAGCCAGACTAAGATATTAGAAAGGGATCTTTATTTAGGTGCTATAGTAAGAACAGTTGCAAAAAATATTCCTCCAAAAACTCTGTGACACATTCTCCCACAACTACATGCAGAAAAGTGTTCTTCACCTTAGAGTGTGGAAAATGAGAATGATAGAATCTTCCTACTTCCATTCACTGCAGGAATTCCCTTTACATTTGTGAAACATGATCATCAAGTCTCTGTTTTAAATGATTCTAGAAACTGAGGAAACACTCATTTTTATGCCACTTCTTGTTGTTGAACAGCTCTGCTTTTTTTGGAAATTCTTTCTTTCCTAGGTTGAGCCAAAATCTGCCTCCATGCAGCTTTTTACATATTGGTCCTGGTTCTGGGATCTGGAGGAATGTAAAATAAGTCCATAACCTCTTTAAAATGATGGCTTTTCAAATATTTAAAGACCGTCTCTCCTAGTTTTCTCCAATTTAAGTATCACTCTTTCTTTCAACTATTCATCCTTTGCCCTG